AGCCACGAACCACCATGGACTATTTCAGGACAACTCTAATGCAACTGAATATCCGCTGATTCAGCAATTATTCATGCTATGCGTAAACAAGCAACCTGTGAAGCCTTTCACGTTCACATTGTAGACACGGAGGAGTGTCAGACATTTAACATGTGCGCGATGTTGCTGCGTCTTACCAACGTTGGCTGTGTGCCCCCGTGCTAAAATATGAATGCCTACAGACTCAGGCCATCCGAAAGTCTCAACCACTCGTTTCTAATTCACATCATCCTGTTCTATATTAAGAATATCGTACACCCAGGACATTCTGGGAAAAGGAATACGATATTAGGTTTGACCTCCTATGTGAAAATGTTAATTAAAATCGTTGAATTACAGAAATTGAGGTTCTGCAACGTTATGCGTCATTCATGAAGTATTTATCAAGGTATGTGTCAATGATCGAGCATGTTAACCGTTTCAAGAAGTTTAATACCTCTTAATAAACCTCCGGTCTTTTATGCTTAGTTAGGTAGTTTGAGGGCGAACCTATAGGAATTAAGACTATTTGGGACATAAAATCTTTCCAACCAGTAAAGATATTTCGGCTAAATCTTGCGTTTAATCGCTTTCTATTGTACGGTCTCGTTAATTATACCCAGTTGTCGTATTCAAACTCTTGCCTCAAGGGGCCATAATCGCAGTACAAAATGCTATGACTTTCATGCAATTGGCGTTTAACAATTCATGGGGTTAGTGGACGAAGACATATTGCTGTGTCTGGATGTAGCCTTTTGTTTGATTGATGCTGTCCAAACTCGTGCGTCCCTATCCTCCCATTGGGGGGCTGAGCTGAGAACTGAGCTGAATAATTCAGAGCGGATCGATTCTGGAGTAGCAACACAATTCAGACAGTGACTCTCCCCTGCTTTAACACAGCCGCTTGTCCCCGGAGTGCCTCAAACCTTATGTGTCCAAATTGTTTGTGTCAGGCTCATGCTTACTGCAACTTGTACTAAATCTACTTTTCTGAAACTCCCTTGCTTCTCTATGCCTGTGTACTTTACATAGAATTAACAATAACACGACTTAATGTTTTCATGTTTGTTACGCATGAAGCAGATATATAGCAATATTTCAGAATATGTCCACACATACTTTCACATACACATAGTCATTCTACTTTTACTCCACTGAGTCTCCAGGCGTATACTACACACACATTTTTCACACTCAGACACACACACGCACGCACACACACACACACACACACACGCACAGACACATAATTTCATACCTGCAGACACACGATACTTATCTATAAAAAACATGCGTACTACAGACAAGAAGGCATGTTTGCAGACACACCATCCACACACAAGCCAAGATTTCACACCTGCAGGCACTACGCACATGTAGACACAAAATACTCGCTGCAAACGTGTGTACCACACAGGAAACCACTCATACAATCACAATACTCACACAAACCCAACAGTCCACACCTGCAGGCACAACACACCTGCAGACACAAATACCCACCTGCAACGTGTACGACACACGTGGTCACTCATACAATCGCAATACCCACACAAACACAACAGTCCACACCTACAGGCACAACACACACACAGACACAAATACCCACCTGCAACATGTGTACGACACACGTGGCCACTCATACAACCACAATACTCACACAAACCCAACAGTCCACACCTGCACACACAACACACCTGCAGACACAAATACCCACCTGCAACATGTGTACGACACACGTGGCCACTCATACAACCACAATACTCACACAAACCCAACAGTCCACACCTGCACACAACACACCTGCACACACAAAATACTCATCTGCAAACATGTGTACGACACACGTGGCCACTCATACAACCACAATACTCACACAAACCCAGCACCCCACAACTGCACACACAAAAACTACCGTTTGGCACCAGGCCCCATTCCAGTAAGCGACCGTAGCGCTAAGGTGATCGTAACTCCTATACCTTAACATAGACTTAGGTAGTCGTCGCACTAGCATCGCTGTGTTGAACGGGGACCTGGCATTCCTGACTACAGTGCAACTGACTACTGGATTAAAATATTGGATTCACTCCCGTCACCTGTTAATTATCGACACTGACTTTATTTCAATCAACTCAAAATGTAAAAGTACTCCATATTTAGACGCCAAGGAATGTAGTGCCACTCCGATTTTAGTGATATTACATTGAAGTCACGTAGGGTCGACCTAGAATGGGCATTACCTAATGTACTTCAATGAGAAATAGTGTGGATACTGAACCTTGCGCCCTACCACCTACTCCAAACATCAGTTCAAAGCATGACTAACCAGCTGACGAGGGAGAAGGTTATCTTCAATCACCAGTCATAAAATGTGTAACCTAACCTCACACCGATCATTATCTTAGTCCAAAGATTTACGTTATCAAATCCTCCCTCCAAAGGATTCTTTGTAAATCACTCCTGCAAAGAACGCCATCCAATTTAAAACCTCCTTTTTAGAATTAAAGTGTGTAAGGATTAAAAAAAAAGACGACGTGCAAATGGGCCATCCTTCTTTTCTGTACTATATTAAGTATTCAGAACGTAAGCTTTGTGAACTCAACAACTAGTCACAGTGGGAAACTGATAGAGAACAGGTCCTTTTGTTACTCGCAGATGCTGGTTATATATTCATTTCACCGCATACCGGAACATTTAGCAAACGCATATTGTTACTCCGCGCCCCCTTATTCCTATAAGGAGGAAGAATTATAGTAGCTTTGGTTCGGTCTGACCTCTCCTACCTCTTCACATCGAAGAACCTCTCCACGGAGATATCTTGTTAATTTTCCTGATGCCATGTAGTCACCTTGACTCCCGTAAGAACTTAGAAATAGCTTTATTGATTATGAAAAAATAACCAAGACGGTAAGAACAACATTTATTGGTCGTGGTAACTCTCAGCGTTCGTTAGGTCACGTAACAAGGGATGAAGTTAGTACTTGGTTAGGAAGAAATGACTTGGATATATATAGGAGCTCCTTCAACTAATCCAAGAACGATCATTCTAATGGTGTCGTGAGGGATGTCAGTTTGTCAGGTTGACCTATAAGAAGGCGTTTGAGATTGTGGGCAATAAACAGTGGGTGTTGTTTCTTGTTTAAAGCTGTACTCAGAAATATTCCAGCATACGTACTTCATAGATCACAGTGAGTGAGTTAGTCTGTCTCACAGTCCCTGAACCACATTAATTTCCCTACTGCCAAGCTCTCTCTGCAGTGCTAAAGCCCTAAATAAAGCAAGTCTAGATTTCTTCAGGTCTGAATCTCTGGTCTCCCTAGGGCTCCTTTTCAATATAAATGGGCTTGTTTGTTACTATCAAAATTATATATATTCAGAGACTAAGCCTTAGTCTAGGAGTGAGTGTGTGAGAGCGGGAGTGGTTTTGCGGGGGCGGTCTGTGTGTGTGTTTGTGCGGGTGGTGGAGGTGGACGCGCGTATACTATAGATCACACAGCAGGACAGGTTATAGCTGTCTAAATACAATGATATCACTGAATGCTATACCCAAAATACTTGTTCACGCTTAGTTCGTTCATCAACGTGCAAAGGGTATTTTCCCAAGATATACATCCGAATAGTACAACAGGGTTTTGCAACCCAAGGTGCACCCTTAATGTCTTAATGTCTTGCACGCTTAAGGGTTTTGAAACTCCTTATTGCCTTCATGTTAAACCATTCCTTATACCGTAATGTCCACTCTATAGTGTATTTGATTGGAGATTTAACAAAGCAAACAATTTGACTTTTGATAACACAATCACTTACAACCATATGATTGTAGACCCTAGCTATACAGAATGTCGTAATGCTCCCAGACTACAAAAACATTCAGTTGTATGTGAGTGAGTGAGTGAGTATGGTTTCACGGTGCTTTTTACCAATATTCCAGCAATATCACGGCAGGGGACACCCGAAATAGGCTTCACACATTGTACCCATGTGGGGACCGAACCCAGGTCTTTGGTGTGACTAGCAAATGCTTTTACCACTAGGCTACCCCACCTCCCCTGTCTGAATATATAGGTGCACGTGACGAAGCTTTCAATAAATTGTTCGTCCGTTGTTTCGGGCTGTAATGTGTTGACTTCGCCACAAGCAGTCCGATGCTCATGTACAACTGTTGAGAGGCGTCGTTTTAAACACAGTTTACTGTTACAATAACGGGATTTCAACTGCTCCTTTCCCGGGTTTGTAGAATCACAAAAAGACTTAGAAGGCTCAACGTGTAAATTTACCGTCAAGAATACAAGACAGAAAAAGATTAAGTTATTGCTGAAATTTCTCTACAAGATTCCCTGTCTGCCAATAAATAATTGATAGGGAAATAATTTGTCCTAATGTAACAAATATATCCTTTTAATAGTTCTCCTGGTCCTTGGGGGTTTATGTAACAGTAAAACAATTGCGTGAAACCAATGACTGTAAATATTCATAGCCAAGATGGCAAGGGAATGTGTCGTAATCGAAAAATTAGAAATCCTTTTAAGAGTGTACGTTGGTAATTTTTGCAAGTGATGTATCTATGCTTCAAGATACGGCAAAACACACGGGATAGACACATACTCGCTCTGAAGGAAAACTGGATAACCAATAAACAATAGGCGTTGCAATGATAACCTTTTGTGTACATACGTATATACTACTCACACTTTGCTAAGGATCCTAAAAATTCACAACTTTACTTAAACGTAGATTTATAATTTGAAATTGTATCCATTTAAAACTGGATAAATAATAATATGGTTACCCCTCATTAGGCAAATGCTCACTTTAAGCTCACCTTATGCACTTGATACACGAGTAACCATAAAAATTGTTTTCATGGCACCTATCACCAACCAACCATCAACCATTTTACAAATCATGGAACGAGTCATTGACAAATAAACAACACATGTCAATAGCAGCTACAGGTATGGGATCCACAAGATGCAATGACATACAGAAACCTAGGTTCCATGGTTACAATAAGCTTAGGTATTTAAAGCAAATTTGACCTAACATAACAGTTTTCTGTTGAATCCATGATTTGATCCTTAGCAAAGTGTGAATAGTATATATAACATATAGGAAATTATTGTCGAATAATGTATTAGTGTTTCACCTATTAGAAACAAGTAAGTAATGGGTGTGCATACAATACATGAGAAGTGAATATCTTGTCAGTAACAAGTAAGTAATTGGTGTGCATACAATACATGAGAAGTGAATATCTTGTCAGTAACATGAGAAGTGAATATCTTGTCAGTAAGTAATATCTTGGTAACAAGTAAGTAATGGGTGTGTGGTAATATCTTGTCAGTAACAAGTAAGTAATGGGTGTGCATACAATACATGAGAAGTGAATATCTTGTCAGTAACAAGTAAGTAATGGGTGTGCATACAATACATGAGAAGTGAATATCTTGTCAGTAACAAGTAAGTAATGGGTGTGCATACAATACATGAGAAGTGAATATCTTGTCAGTAACAAGTAAGTAATGGGTGTGCATACAATACATGAGAAGTGAATATCTTGTCAGTAACAAGTAAGTAATGGGTGTGCATACAATACATGAGAAGTGAATATCTTGTCAGAAACAAGTAAGTAATGGGTGTGCATACAATACACGAGAAGGGAATATCTTGTCAGTAACAAGTAAGTAATGGGTGTGCATACAATACATGAGAAGTGAATATCTTGTCAGTAACAAGTAAGTAATGGGTGTGCATACAATACATGAGAAGTGAATATCTTGTCAGTACAAAATACATTGAGGGAATGAAAACACTGAATCAACATTGTGATCGATGTGAGGCTACAGTATTGTGTAGTGTATGTAGCAACATTACAAGTTCCATGTCAAGACGTCTTGCATTATGTTATCACACTGAGCTCTCAGAAAATAGAACTACGAGCGGTTTTTGTGAAAGAGATCGATGAACCAGTGAAAATATTTCTAACGCTTTTTTTTACTGTACGTAAGTAATAAACAAACACACAGGGTGCATGTGACGAGAGGCTCGTGAAGAATCTGATGACACGGAATTAGCATACACATGTTTATGCATAACTTTCAGATCGATATCATTCATGAATCAATGAAAAGTAATTACCAAAGACTCAGTGGGAATATGTAACAATAGGCTCGTTAAGGAACCGATGGATACGGAATTAACATATGCATGTGTATATATAACATTCTGATTATTCGTGATGGAAACATTCTGATTATTCGTAATGGAAAAATAGTTTAAGCGTCAATAAATCAGCGAAAACAATTCACACGTTGATATTTAACTTAACGTAATCATGAAAGACTATGTATGTGTGAATATATACTTGTAGAAACACAAACATGTATTTGCATACATTTAAATCAGTCATTATGGAAAACTCTTTCTTTCTTAAAGTCAAGAATTTCGGTAACGTTGAAGAGGGCCATTTTTAATATTATTCATGTGTTCAACGTGGAACTTGTTCTGAAGTTAGCATCATTGCTGTGATCATGTTTACCCTGTTATGTATCCCATTCTGAGATAACAGGGCTCATCTTTAATGCAATACAATATTGACAGAACAGCATCACCTAAATGTATATGATTATTACCTTACGACTAAATGCAATGCGGGAATTTACAATGTTTAATTTATCTTAATTCATTCTTCGAGTCGGTTATTGCGATTATTATGCAATTTTTATTCAATTACGTTAATTTTTTGGATAATGTTCACAGACAAATGAAGAAGGGAACGAACATTCCTTTGGAAATTGAGGAAGTGGTATGTACGATAGTTTAGTCGATGTGATAGATTGGCGTATATAGAATAGATTATTTAGTTTGTAGTAGTTGTTGTCCAATAGTACTTCTAGTTGTATGGTGTTCTTCGTGGTATTAGAAACCTTTTACTGTGTTTAGTACTGTAGACAGATAAATAATCTATTTTTGTTTCTTAAACGTATTTGGGTTTAATTATGCCAACCTTTCGAAGATAACACAGTTACTTAAAGAATGGAATCTATGTCGTGTAGATTTAATGTGTGTATAATATAAAATGCAAATGTTTAAATCATATATATCGTCAGCAGTTTATCGAATTTGAATTAATGATTATTTATACTTTTAATAGGTAAATTGCACATATTTCTTACATAGCAATTCCCGTCGAACTCGTTTGTTTTCTTATTTCAGCAGTCCGACCCAGTAATGAAGCTGAAATTGGATTTGTTTGGCCTCTTATCAGCAAACGATACGGTGCAAATAGTGACATTTATTTTAAAAGAGTTACAATGGAGCAACACCAGTGATGTGGTTCACATGTTTGGTGGGATCAGTAACTGGAGCATTGAAGCGAATGCCTACCTACACATTATCACATAATGAGTCACTTAAATGTTTTTACGCTCATAAAATGATAATGATTTGAGTAATCCTTATGCGTTAACCTGATCATAAAGTGCGCAAACCCTATCTATTATCCTTTATTCAGCATAAAATGTATCAGGTCAAAACAAGGCTGTAAAAACAAGGAACAGCTGTAATTCATTTTCACATATTGAAGAGACACAGGTGGTCTAATCGTCAAAGGCGACGCAATGAGCTGTGCAGAGTTGTGTCCCTTGGGCGCGCCTGGAACCTGTGATCATTGGTTCGAATCCCGGTTTTCCCTGATTATGTTTCATGGTTTGCCAGCACTATACACGTGTTCCAGGGCTTCATCGAAGTGCTTCACGTCAAAGGAGTACGTCACTTCGGGCTTTACTTCATCAACGCCGCGATATAAGCAGGATACTGTCAACATGACGTAATACCCACCTCACTCTAAGGTGCAATGTATCGAATGTCTGTGGCAGTGTTCAATATATGGATCTTTAGGATTAGCAAATGTTTCTTTTAGATATGAATACAGTATGGCAGGTTACAAACATGTACGGCGCATGTAATTACATGTAATGTCATGTAACGTTTTGTCACATTTTTATAGTGTAGCTAGAACTGAACGAACTTGATCTTTTGTTTGTCCAAGAGAATAACATTTATTCGTGAACAATATCTAGACTGATGATAGTAACAGCCACAGTGTCCATGGTAACAGTAGCAGTGGTAGGGGAGTAGCAGTTACTTGAGATGGTTAGAAACGTCATTGTATGGTAGGGGTAGTTGTAGCGTCAGGTTGCAGATATAGTGTAGGTGAGGTAGCAGTAGGGGGAGTGACAGTAACAGCAGCAGCAGCAGTAGGGAAAGCACAGGTAGCAGTAGATGAAGAAGTAGTAGTAGTAGTAGTAGTAGTAGTAGTAGTGTGAAAGCACAAGTAACAGCTGAAGTAGAACTAGCAGCAGCAGCAGCAGCAGCAGCAGTAGCAGTAGTAGTAGTAGTAGTAGTAGTAGTAGTAGTAGTAGTAGTAGTTGTGGTGGGACAACAAGCAGCATTAGCAGTGGGGGGAGCAGTAGAAGTAGCAGTAGTAGTAGCAGCAGCATTAGTAGTAACAGTAGTCGTGGAAAGCACAAGTAGCAGTAGCTACTAGTGGTGCATTACTAGTAGTTGCATTTGTAGTAGTAGCAGTATTAGTAGCAGTAGGAGTAGTAGAAGTAGCAGCACTAGTATAAGTGGTGGTAGCACAAGTAGCAGTAGCATAAAAGAAAAGAAGTAGTGGTAGTGGTAGTAGTAGGGGGGTATTAGTAGTGGTGGTAGTGGTAGTAGTAGTAGGAGTGTTAGTAGTGGTTGTAGTAGGGGGGTATTAGTAGTGGTGGTAGTGGTAGTAGTAGTAGGAGTGTTAGTAGTGGTTGTAGTAGAAGTAGCAGCACTAGTATAAGTGGTGGCAGTACAAGTAACAGTAGCATAAGAGAAGAGAAGTAGTGGTAGTGGTAGTAGTAGGGGGGTATTACTAGTGGTGGTAGTAGTAGAAGTAGTAGCAGCAATAGAAGCTACTTTATATAGTGGGTAAAGGTTAGTGTGGTAGACTACGTGCGATAGAGATAGTTGCTGATTGGGACTAGTAGAAGAAGCGACACTTAAAGTCTTACCTGTAGTAGCTGGTTGATAAGTCTAGTAGATACATACTATTGTTGGGATGGTTGTTTTGGTGTAGGACGTAGTAAACCTATAGAACAGGTAGTCGTCGTGGTAGCAGTACCAGTAGTAGCAGCAACATAAATACAAATAGTAGCTGAATCATCATAGTAGTAGTAGAAGTAGTAGTAGTAGTAGTAGTAGTAGTAGTATCAGCAGCATAAATAGTGGTATTTGCACTCGTACAAACAGCAGTAGCTTGGTATTATCAAGACCCACTAGTAGTCTCAGTCACGGCAGTAGTAGTAGCAGTAGTAGTAGTAGTAGTAGTAGTAGTAGTGGTAGTAATAGTAGTAGTAGTGGTAGTAGTAATAGTGATAATAGTAGAAGTAGAGATAGAAGTAGAGCAGCAGCAGCAGCAGCAGTAGTAGTAGTAGTAGTAGTAGTAGTAGTAGAAATAAAAGTAGTGGTAGCAGCAGTAGTAGTAGTTGTAATACTGGTAAAACTGGTAATGTAAGTAGCAATGGTAGCAGTAGTTGTAGTAGTAGTGGTAGTAGTAGTGGTAGCGGTAGTAGTAGTGGTAGTGGTAGTGGTGGTAGTGGTAGTAGTAGTAGTAGTAGTAGTAGTAGTAGTAGTAGTGGTAGTAGTAGTAGTAGTAGTAGTAGTAGTAGTAGTAGTAGTAGTAGTGGTAGTAGTAGTGGTAGTGGTAGTAGTGGTAGTGGTAGTGGTAGTGGTAGTAGTAGTAGTAGTGGTAGTAGTAGTAGTCGTGGTAGCAGCCGTGGCAGTTGTAGTGGAGGTTTGTGGCAGCAATAGGCAGGGAGCACCAGTAGTAGTAGAAATAACATCAGCAGTTTGGGAAGTAGAAATGTTCATAATAGCACCGATAATAGTGGGACAATTTGAAATAACAGCAACAACTGTAGCAGCCTTAATAGTTGATGCAGTAGAAACTGTAGCTGTAGTCGTAGATGAAGCAATTGAACTGTTGTATTTGTGGTCAGGCAACTGTGGCTGTTAATATCAACATATACGTCAAACTCTTGTATCACAACATTATATAATACTGTCAATTGTAGCGATATCCCGCTATTTTCAATAAGTATTTCTATTAACTATAGTTTTGAAATGTTAGAAATTAGAAGACTGCACTCTGTCTATTTAGTTTCCACAGAAAATACAAATAACAAGAATTTGATTCTAAAGACAAATGTGAACCCTTCTCAAGTACGTGCATAAACATTGTCCTTGAAACCTTTTAAAGATTCATTTTGCACCCTAACGGAGGCTCACAATCACAGCTTAAGATATCAGGTCCAAGATTATGTATATTCGAAAACTCCTCTAATCCTTCTTGGTAACTCAAGACGGTTTTGTCAAAGGACGAAATGGGCATGTGGGTGGATGATCATGAGGCAAATGACTAAAGAAACATGTCACTGTAATAATTTATAAAGAAATTGAAATTTGCTCACAGTTTAAACTCCTGCAGCATTTTTCAAACGAATTAGACTCACAATAACACAGAAATAAAATGTGTTTTGTTTGTAATATTAATTATTAAGGCAACTCATTTGATCTATGAAATACCGTTATTCAGAGACTGAAACTCTGGCACCGTTCCTGTTTGTCAAGATAAACACTGTTTATATACCTAATACAACTTGACCGCTCTTTCTATCCTCTGTGATTGCTCTCTGAGTACTACAATGAGAGTTAGCTTCGGCATCGTGACATTTGTACAGGGAAATGACTCAATTCATGTCATACATATGATGTACTTAAACGAATAATGCCAGTCTCTCTGGTAACCCTGCATTACTGTCATAATCATTAACGTATCTTTATCTAATAAGGAACCTGATCAATATTGCAAATTATCTTGCATGAAGCTATTTTCCTACTGACATGTCATTGTAAGGGGATAAATTATGTTTCAGATCAGCATTGAATGTGTTACTTCTGACAATTGTATCTTCATTTTATAGTTATCATTTCAAATACAACCTATGACTGTTTGAATGCTTTGAGCAACAAATGATTTTTTTGCAAAATATAATTTTGTCAAAATACACGTCAAACGTCTAACGACATTCATAATTTCACAGAGGTGCTTACAAGAGTCATATTTTCGTAGTCATTGAAAGTTTATAGCATTTGTATGGCATGCGGTTTGAATCATGAATAATAATGACTTTCTTAAGAATCATTTAATGTCATAGACATAATTTTGCTGTGTAACAGTAGGATTAGAACATCCGGTAAATGAAAACGATGCTTGTTAATTGTGAAATCCGTTGTTCGTGAATTTAGAATTTTAGTAAAAAATCTTCCTGTGTGAATATAGAAAAAATGTTCAAGTTAATCTTACTTCATGTGTTATCACGTTTAGGTTCAGAGGCATACAGTTACATGTTATCTATGAACGCTTAAGGGCACCCATGGGAAAAGAAACTGAAAGATTGTATCTTGATGTGAAATAATAAACCTTTTGTAGCTCACACGTTCATAATGTATTGTGTTATAGGAAGGAATGCGTGTTCCTATACTAAGAGAAATATCGAATGTATTTTTAATGAACTCTTTACATGTTGCGTTCACATTTGTGAGCAATGTTTTAGTATAATCCGTGCATTGTAGAAAACCGGATCAAATAAAAGAATCAATTTCACAGATTTTGTTTTTTTTGTTGATTCTTCACATATAAACAACTGTACCAAACACAGAGTTTGATATTGACACAGTTCTCCATAAAGATTCAGATACAGAAGATGCTGGAGCGTCAGCGTCCCCAGTAAACCCCACGGGGTAATTCTGTCAAGGTTCGATTTGGGGTGGTAAGAAGATGCGGGTTGATGATGTAGGTCACCTGGGGGAAATAGGTTTGCAGTAATGACCTGAAAGGGATCTCAGCAGGAGAAAGGACTTGGTGCTGGTTAATGACGGAACCAATGCTTCACATGTTAAGATGGAAGTCAATGTATTAGTTTGGGTTAAGAAGAGAAATGAAGGGATAATGAATGGCCAAATGGTTTAGCAAGGGAAATGAAAGACTCTCACAACTGGATTACGGGTTAAGTTAGGAATTAAAATGATTGTCATTTTTCTTTACAATATATTCACAAGTTACACAACCAATGGAAACCTGACTTATTTGTCATTACATTTCGGCATATTTCCAAGCGAAAACAGCAACAAAACCCTTATAATACTAATACAAATCTGTGACAACAGCTGAGTCGACTGTACGGTTATATACAATAACCAGCATCATATACAAGTCTTGAGCATGTCTCTATGAGTCATCGGAAATAGTGATGATTACAGGTGTTGGAAAAAAGGTGAGCCGACCCTGCACCAGTGTCACATTCACAAACACACGCATAGGCAAGTCAATCGCACAGACAAATACTTAGCACAACATACAGTTGGGCAATCTGTCGACGAATTTGTTGTCACGAATGGACACAAAATGTGGAACTAAATTTGGAAATGGGAATAACATTTGGATAATTGTGAAAGACATACGTTGGTGTCCTGGCTGGGGTGATGAGGTTTGGCGTGCGGGGTTTTAGGGTTAGGGAGGGTAATGGGAGTGACGGATTAGGGCCGGGGTCGATATATCGGCTCAGGGCCGGGGAGGTCGTGGTAACGTTGGCATGAATTGCAGCAAGCTGGAAATCGGGTACTGGGATCGCAAGATCGATACTTCTGTCGGCGTCTACACGTACTGGTTGGGGTTATATAATTGTTGTTTAAATGGAATCTCTTTGACACCAGGAAGAGCTGGAACGGTTAACATAGGGATTAGTAGGGCAGTACTTCTTTGAACACATAACAAGTTTACGAGGAGTGGACCGAATTGGATTTAAAGTGAACAGTTGTTATGAGAGTAAGTCAGTTTGTAAGACGTCAAGTTGTATCTGCTTCATTCACTGTATGTTCATTATTAACCAGACATTTAGTCAAGTTTTACTGCATCCAGCAAGAACGGGGATAGTAAACGACTCGCCATATTATTGAAAACCGACTTCAGGAGGCTGAAAGAGTGGCAATTGACAGAACATGAATATTTTAGAGAAAACAGACAACCCATAATCGGTCATGTCTAGTGATCAGTGACATGTAACTTAATGCCATGCAGATGTCGCCCCTCTAACTCACAAGAAATCAATACTGTTTAGGCACGGCAGGCAATAAACTGCAAAAAAGGTATGTACTAATTGCCGGCGCCGAGGAAAGAATCCTACCTCTACCTTGTTAAGTACGACCTGGTTTTATAAACCACGCACATGAGGGGACGGATTTGTACATTGGTCATCAACTGGTCATCAGATTGCACTGGCGACTCATCATACACGGCTTCGTTCTCTGCATAAATATACATACTGGACAAAATATTTTGGGATCATGAATATTTTGTAGATATTTTTGGATTGAAAACGCAACAAATATTTACATAAACTATTCTTCTGTTCAGAGAGTTAGATCACGTTGAAGTCCCGGGTTGGATTCCCCACATGGGTACAATGTGTGAAGCCCATTTCTGATGTCCCCCATATTGCTGGAATATTGCTAAAAGCGGCGTAAAACCATACTCACTCATTCACTCACTCACTCAGAGAGTTTGAGTACACTACGTTTCTAACGAACACGCTTATAGCGAACTGACGGATACAACGAACTATGTTTTGGTCTTGGGCACTGTATATTTCAGTCGAAATTGGTTTAACAAACTAATTAGAACTCCGAAATCTAATTAGTTTCCCTTGAGTTCGTATAACCGTATTACTACCATATCGAAGCCTGTTATTCAGTGATTACGTTAGGTCAGCAAATATATATGCATATGGAGATTTAATAAACTGGACTATATTCTCAGTTGTATTTACTGAAGTAATACATCAAGTCAATAAAACTGAACAACTGCACTGTGCCCAAAATGCGATTCGTGCATCATTATAAGGTCATTCAGCGTTACAATGGGAAATAGGGAACATTATCAGTTTTTTCCTTAAACCTATTAAGGAAGTTCCCACCAGTCAGATTTAAATAGACCAAAGATGTTTGGAAGTTATAAGCGTACTTTACACCCAATAAAATCCGTTGGGGCAGACAATCGAGGCTGGTCTTTCTCTGGCGTTGATGTTCTATATTTAGTAACATGCGTTGAACACTTTACATTCTTAAAAGGTTAATCGTGCTTGTGGATCTGTGTCAAATTTCACACAAACTGGAAACAATACTAACAATAGCTGCCAAATTGAAAAAAAAAATATAAGATCTATTTTCATGACATACATTCTGCTTAAGGTGATACATTATAAACTACCAACAGATAAATGCTTTGTGTTTGGAATATCAATATCACCTTTCGATGTCTTGTAATTTTGACATGTTGTTATAAGGCTGTATTTTACATTAAATTTACACAACCAGATTATAGAGGTGTATTTGGTCGTACTTTTACTACAATACAAAAACGTGTCCTTGTGAAAACTGGGCTCCGTATATTTCCTGGCTTGGAGCAGCTCAAGTTCATTGTACACGCTACACCAGCGCTTGTTTTAGACCAGTTCGACCCCGAAGCAGTGAACGCAGGATTCTTCCTACTCGTAACTTCTCCAACATTAAAGCATATTTTCCCCACCACTAATGAGGATTCCTGCCACCTCTTACCCCTTCAGATGGCAAGATCACAGACAATGCACCATTGATCCGCTGTGCTTCAAAAGCTGCGGGCAATAAGCCGTCAGGTAAATAGTATCTATGTGCCTGTTGCACAATGAGGAATTATGGGTTAACAGATCAGTCCTACCTTGAGGGGATTCTAGGCTGCCTTTGTTGTGTAGTGATTGAGTTAAAGTGTTGCGTTTTAAAGAAGGAAACATGCAAATGCAATCACGTCGTTTATTTGTGCTTGGAGCGTCACTAGACAAAATGGCCTTGAAAGCTAACACCAGGCGTCAAGAGAGACAAGCCCGTTGGGAATTCTGTAGGTTACTATAAAGTTAACATACGAGAAAACAACCTTTCTACTTTAAGCAATGACCTTTCCTTAATTTAATGATATCACCATAGACCATGATTGGACGAAATTTATCAAAGGCAGCGAGCTGGATTTTTTTAAGAAGAAACAGAATGGTAAGGTGAACACAGGACTACGGGTCACGCAGGCTTCATGCCAGCATTTTCACAGATCTTTTTATCAGATTGACCCTTAACAATCTTGATTTACTTCATGTTGTTAAAACAAACATTTAATATTTTCCCGGGATTTTGTTTATATGTCCATGTTGACTATAAACTTAAAAAATATTGTCGATCACGTTATTGAACATGTGAACATTTCTTTATTATGAATTTAAGTTTCACATGCATGTGTAAATTGAAAAAGATAACAATAAAATGTTTTATAGATTGAATTAGTAGAGCTATAAATATTTTCTGGTCGTGACAATTTTAACTGCTTCAAGTAATGTAAGGGGCTTCAAATACATTCAGAGACTACCTGAAGCGTATTAAGTCTCTTCCCGAATGGACTAGACTAAATAAATCATTAGTTCCAAACTATTCAATGACTGGGGAATGTCGTTTATTTTGAAGCGTCATTTGCTGGTCTCTTAAACATCCATGGCCATTAAGAACTATATCATTTATGTCCGGAAACAATTTGTAAGACACATTTCCCATATGACGTCATCTTGGTATTGATTGATAACAAAACTGATTAGGGCACCACTAGACAACCTATATACTGATTCTCTGAAGGGCCCAGCGCAGTACGTGGCCGGTGAAGAATAAACAAAGTCATCTTGGAGCTAATCACAAAAGTCATGCTTCTTAAGATGGAATTGTCTTTCATTTTCATCACAACATTATCACATTCATTCATCCTTTCCTGATTACCGAGACTACCAGAGCAAATCATTGACAGTAATACCGTGCCCAGCAAACTGATTTATGGAGACAAACATCCTCAATACGTGATTAGGGAAACAGTATTTAAAAAAGGGTTGGCAATAAAGGCTAAAATGCGCCTTTGACAAGGCATTATCGAGGCTTCGAGAAGACATAGCCTTTTCCAAGAGACAAATATGGCCTTCTCACGAGAAAAATTCAAATATGAATGTCTCGGAGTCCAGCTGAGAAGGACCATGGATTGGCTATTACGTGGACACTATGTCAACATAGATGCTGCTGTTGACTATGCAGTCTTTGAAGTCTCGTGGAAGACAATGGCGGATGTGGAGAGAGTACGGCTTCCTTCTGATTACAAGCAGAGACTACTGGTGGTCGTGTGTCATCCGTAGTGCTAATTCTACAGCTACCTGACGTGTAAACATATTACTTCAGACACATGAAGAAACCATATTGTCGTTCCTTGGTCGTGTACCCAGCGGTCTTCATTGCAAACTAAGGCGTAGTGTTGGTGGAAGACCTTTGTCTGAATTTACTGTCAAATGTCGTCTTTAGGGTGAGCGTGTTTTCATACTATGATGTGTTATGCAATTACACCCATAAAGCCGTCATATCAAATATTAGGTGTCAAACTGTCAGAAAAAAATGACATCTGCTTTGAAGACGTCTTGTAATGAGTACGTGCATTGCGAGACATGATCCATGCAATACAGAAGGGTTTAACATTAGGGGTGAAACAGTACCGCGGTACAGTACCTATTGCGGTACCAGGCCTTCGGTTCGGTCAACTTCGGTTCGGTATATGAGATATGATCATAATGCAGAAAGTTGACAAGAGCCAAACCTAAAATTGTTTGATAACATGGATAAACATAACCATAATCTTTGTAATTTTGAATGAACAAAACATTTTATGATTAGATAGAAAACCGGTACGAAAACAGAAAATACCGATTTTCTTTATTGCATTACGGTTTACCGAACAGAAGGCAAAATACCGCGGTTCTACTAATTCCGCGGTATACCGTTTCACCCTTATCAGTGCAAACATATTAAGACTGCTTGCAGTATCCTTTATAGTGACAGGTATCAAATGTATGTATGCCTTTATATTGGGAAGCTGGAATGTTTAATGCAGGATCATTGAGGAGGAACTCTGAGAATGCATATGACGACACATGCACATAGGAAACACGCATTAACGTGAAACAACAGTTTTATCGGATCCTCGTTTTCAGGGCCAAGATATGTCAACATATATATGCATGCATGGAAAATGTGAAACGTGAAGCGGAATGAGATACTTCGAGGGTGTTAAATTTTCATATACGTTAGAGTACAGATTGGTTGACTTCATTTCCGTAGTTGAGTGAGTGAATGGTATGGGGTAACGGTGTTTAGCCTTCGCAGCCTGGTGTTCATTGTAGTGGCGAATTTAGCACCGTAATCATCCCCGGCCAATATTATCTCCTTCACTAAGGGGGCGGTGGGGTAGCCTTGTGGTTAAAGTGTTCGCTCGTCACGCCGAAGACCCGGGTTCGATTCCCCACATGTGTGAAGCCCATTTCTGGTGTCCCCCGCCGTGAAGCTGGTAGAATATTACTAAAGACGGCGTAAAACCGTACTGACTCACTCCTCCACTGAGTGTTTTTGGTGATATCTTTTGGTGACAGAATTTCTATCTTCTGGTGTTCTGGTTCTGTACCCAGTCCTACAGCTTAACCTACAACCCAGAGTTGTTTGTAACTAGGGACAATCAGAGTGGACATGGAGGCAAACCGTCACGTCGTTAGGGTTTAGGGTGATGGGTATGCTCAATTTAAAACCCTGTGTGTCGGGAATATATACTTACCACTTTTAACTCACACACGAAACCATACGTATCATTGGATTTGAACAAGCATGTATTCGTAACTCAAAAAAGACTAATTACGAGAGCATAAGTATATTTGATATTATTATGATAATACTTATTATCACTATCATAATTATCAGTAATTTCTAAAAAATCATATTTTTTAATAATTATTATATTCATACTTCAATTTTAAAATCGAATATATCAGATTATAATAATATAGGTTTTGATTCAATGATACCCAGTATGAAACAACGATACTTGTGCCAAGACACTTGGTGGAACCAGTACTGGAACTCCAACGTCAGCTGATACACAACGACTGTCTGTGTTCCAGTATCTATTATATTATCTCCATCACAGACATATTCTCCGTCATCCTGACGTACCTCCGGAGACACGCCCTGCACACCCCGTTCCCGGACGTCACACATTCTAATCCAATATTGGTGTCTCCTGATAGCGAAGTCTGTTTGATGTATATTTTTATGGTAGTTTAATATGTAAAGCGGTCTTCAGACTCGAGTGATGGATTAGATTATGAGTGAGGGATTTGTGTGAAGCTGTTTCTCGTAATGTTGTTAGGAGGAACGGTTGAACATGAAAAACTCATGAGAATGGCTTTTTAGACCAAAAAGCTTTGTTTGACGTCAGATTAGTCTTATCGGCCTTAATTCTTATCATCCCACAGACAAACAACACTAATCCGTTTTATCAAAAACGGGAAAAACTCTCACTTGAATATATTGAAATCATACCAAAGGGACGCTGCTTGAAAAAATGATCCAAAGTAACTGTAAGTCATGTTTTATGCACAGTCCGATGCCATTATGTAATAGAAAAAAAACCCCCAATGCTAACATCGTCTAAAAACTTAGGTACGTTAGATTTTAATACCAACTAACATACTCATTCACCCCTAAGCACATTATCCACGAGACGCATTATGTAAAAGGCTTGGTCGGAAGTAAAAATCCATGGGGAAAATGCAAACTTTGCATAAAACATTATTTGGGGTTGGAAATCAGCTGACTGGACACACACGCACGCACGCACGCACGTACGCACGCACACACACACACACACACACACAAACGAACACACACGAGCGCACACACAGACACACACACCCGGACCGGTGACTTGATGACGTACATGTAAATATGTTTATCATCCAAAACTGTGTTCCACAGGAGATATCGCTTGTGTGAGATCAAACGATATCTCCTAGGAGATATCGTTTTGACAGTAGATTTTGTACAATACACTGACAATGCTATGACGTCATGAGCATGATGACGTCACAATGCTATGACATTGCTGCACTGCAAATCTAATGGCAGAACGGTGGTCAGAGATGTACTTTTTTCAATGAAAACTAATGAAGAGTGATTTTTGATGATAAATAGAATCTAACCCTCGTGTCTTCTGATATCAAATATATCAACCACTCGTTGATAAAAGTAAAAATATCCCCGGCAAGGCTCGGATATTTGTAACTTTATCAGCTCGTGGTGATGTATTTGTTATCAAAAGACACTCGGGTGATATTCTCTATGTAGTGGATTCAGGCATCAGAATCTGTTCTCGTCCTGAGATGGGGGCGGTGAGGTAGCCTAGTGGTTACAGCGTTCGATCGTCACGTCGAAGGCCCGTGTTCGATTCTCCACATAGGCACAATGGGTGAAGCCCATTTCTGGTGTCCCCCGCCGTGATATATCAGGAATATTGCTAAAAGCGGCGTAAAACCATACTCACTCACTCGTCCTCAGATACTACCAATATCACGCAAACCTGACCTACAATTTCAGCTCACAATCAGAACAATTCCTCTTGCCAGTTCAATAAAACATCATCACTGTGCTATATTTGGAAACAATCAAGTCTATATTCAGCCAGGGGTATGACTTCCCATTCCTCAAGGAACCAATTTCTTATAGCTATGTGTTAAACCTGACAGAAAACATCACTGCCCCCAGGTTAGAGTGCCTTTAATACACCAAACTCCACAAACTATTTACTCAAACAGAGACTAACATAATACAACCCTTTCATCAGAACAGACTCCGTGTGTACATCTAACGTTCATTCTGTCCCATTCGTTGACTCCTAAATGAAGACAGAAAGTTGAAGACGACGTTGCGCCCAAGGCGTTACTTACCATTGTGGACGTGCTGATATATAGCGTTCGGTGTTTTATTCAGTGGCAGGTGCCCGTCTACCCCGCAGTAATCACTTCCTATACCGCCAGGCAGACGGCAGCTGGCCTATCAAGCCTCATTTTAAAGTAAAACAACAAAGCTTCACAGTTTACCTTCTAACACCTCATTACTCGAATGTCCATTTGTCAACTTAAGTCGGAGAAATGGCCTGGTCTCCAGCCGCTATGGCTCAGACCTGGATCAGACAAAACACATGGCTTCCTTGGCCAACACCAAGATGTTTCGCAGAAGCTACAGGGGGTTAGACCAGGGCTACTTCCAATATATGCTGTTTTGTGTCTCTTGCTAGGAGTTACTGACCATTGTGTGGGTTGACTACGTATAGGTCAGATAGAAAGTAGGTCTTGCTCTGTAGGTCTTGAGTGTGGAATCCACATATATCATGGGTTTTCTACACACATGTTTATTCATTACAGGTATGTATTGTATGTATGTATGTATGTATGTATGTATGTATGTATGTATGTATGTATGTATGTATGTATGTACATTCACACATACGTAGGTATATAAGTATGTATGAGCGTGCGTGCGAGCGAGCGTGTATGTGTGCATCTAATATGACTAGTGAAACTTAACTATATACTGTTTGAAAAATCTCGTTTTGATCATACGGGTTTTACACATAATCTGAAACAGTTTGAACCTTTACCTTACACCTTTAATGTGTACACCTGAGATTTATCATTTAAAGTTAAATGATGCATGAAATGTACATTTATTGCATCATTTACACTTACGTCTACACGACTAAAGCTAAAGTGTTTGATCATATGGTCAACAGAAAATAGATTTAAAACGGACAATTTAAACTGAAAAACATTATTCAGGTGATATATTTTATAAGTTACAAAAACATGGTATTTTACTTGATAATCATTCTTCCAGCATTCAACAGCGAGTGTGGGAGACATAAACTTTAGGCTTACGTCCAAGCATCAATCTGTGTAGCTAACACATTCGTTATGTGGTCGTAACTGCTTGGAAGCTGCAGTTCATTTTCAAGAGCTTCGTTGGGATTACAGATTCTAACATTTCATTCATTGGAGGATTGCAGCCAATCCACTCTCATTTGGAAAAACTTGATCCTCGACTAAATTCTCGAATGACTGGAAGAAAATCGCGGTAGTGTTAAGTCCCTTGCCGCGCTACCTGACCCCAAAGGATCGGAAACATCGTTGCTGTGTCTTGACTAGTATTCGGCAAATTGCAGGGGCCGCCGCTTTTAGACTTTGATCAATGACTACATGTGTTTTGGGGACACTATTTCTCTATGCTTTGGTGGACAGGATGGCAATTGCACTCAACTGGAATCCTTCAAACTTCCGAAATTGTTTTTCAGTTGTCCTCTGTTATGTGATCGTATCTTCTCTAAGGCAACGCGATCATAAAACACAAATATTTTCTTTATGTCATACGTGAAACCTCTCCTTGATAGACCAGCCATGTTTGACGTTCTAGGATAGTATCATGTAGTATATAGGAGGATGCTATTGAGTGAACACATGTTTACTATCAAACGTCTAAATATACTACTCACACTTTGCTAAGGGTCACAAAAATTCACAACTTTACTTAAACGTAGATTTATAATTTGAAATTGTATCCATTTAAAACTGGATAGATAATAACATGGCAACCCCTCATTAGGCAAACAGTCACTATAATCTAACCGTATGCACTTGATACATGATCAACCATAAAAATGGTTTTCATGGCACCATTGAACCATTTTACAAATCATGGAACAAGCCATGGACAAGGACACAACACCTGTCAATAGCAGGTATGGGATCCACAAAATGAAATGACAAACGAAACCTAGGATCCATGCTCACAATAAGCTTAGATATTTAAACCAAACCTGACCCCACATCACAGTGTTCCGTTGAATCAATGATTTGATCCTTAGCAAAGTAAGAATAGTATAGTATTAAGCAATTTATGGTAACCTGTTCTTGAAGGAATAATCCAAATGTACACGTATACAAATTTCGTATATGTATCAAATATGTTTGCATTTGTTCTCTTTCAAAAGTCTTAACAGTGCTTATTGCCGATGTGACGTTAAATCTTAACTCACTCACTCACTCACTTAACAGTGCTTAACATAGTTTCTCAATTGAGAACTAAGACCACCTACGACTTACTAAGAAAAACCGTTTGATATTTGTTCAAGTCTTCCTCACATTCATGTTTACTCTGGAGAATTATTTGTTCTTGAGTTGTTAATGGATTTAAACCGTAAAAATATCTCCTTAAAGCTAATTCTACCTAATGCAAGAACTACTGCATCTTCGGTCCAATCAGGTTAACCTCTTCGCGAACACTAATTGCAGTAACGATAATTGCCTTTCATCTCCATCATCGCGTGTTTTTCCTTTTTTGTTTCTCCCTATTTTGTTTCTCCTTTGTTTTCAATAAATATAGGATAAGAAAGGGTTTCAAAGAGCTCAGCTGACAGACATCGGGTTTTTAAAGATCAATGTGTAAACATATAACCTGTGCTCTCCATACATAATGAACAGGAAGAGGTCGACTAGGAGGAGTGTCTTGTACTGTACAGCAGGATTTATGAATGACAATGTGTCTCTCTGTCTTCCCTTGATCTGAAATATTTAATCTTCTTAGGCTCTGGGTAGGCGAATCCGAACTGGTTGCATACTAAAACAGATATTATTAGTTCTTTGTTATGTTTGTATCTTTACCGCTATCTGAATATACGATTGAAAAACAAAATGTTTTTGAGGTGGTGGCTCAGCTCATCCTCAACGTCGGGCAGTTCTGTGAGGACTCGCATCCCAGAAGCGATATAATAATGGTTGGTTCGGAGCTTAGATTCAGCCTTATTATGATCACTGGTATGGATGTTGGTGAAAACGAGTGAGTGAGTTTAGTTTTATGTCGCCTTTAGCAATATTCCAGCAATATCACGGCGGGGGACTCCAGAAATGGGCTTCCCGTATTGTACCCATGTGGGGAATCGAACCCAGGACTCCGGCGTGACGGGTGAACGCTTTAACCACTAGGCTACCCCACCGCCCCTGGTGCAAATGATTGCTAAATTTCCAATACTTAGGTTTTCTCCACACATTAAGTTCACACGCCGAGAGATTACTTACGTTTGAATAAAAACGTCAACCACTCCGTAACGCCCCAAAATCACCACTGAAAGCGGACACCATTCTCCAACTCTATCATGAGCATCAGTTTACGGATCACTATCAACTAGTGATGATACCAGCTGGTTGCGGGGGCGGTGGGGTAGCCTAGTGGTTAAAGCGTTCGCCCCTCACGCCGAGGACCTGGGTTCGATTCCCCACATGGGTACATTTTGTGAAGCCCATTTCTGGTGTCCCCCGCCGCGATATTCCTGGAATATTGCTAAAAGCGGCGGAAAACCATACTCACTCACTCACCCTCAGATACTACCGATATCACGCAAACCTGACCTACAATTTCAGCTCACAATCAGAAAAATTCCTCTTGCCAGTTCAATAAAACATCATCACTGTGCTATATTTGGAAACAATCAAGTCTATATTCAGCCAGGTGTATGACTTCCCAGGGATATGACTACCTCACTCACCAGGTGGTTGCGAAAAGGTCCAATTCAAAACTGAGTATGTGTGGTTGATGTAACTTCCTGGCAGATTAACATCTTCAAACAAAAGTGCCAATTTGCCAATCAGAAACTGCCTTAACACCTGTCCATAACTGGTAAACATCATAGATCAGACCAACAGGCCTCTTAAATCTTCAAACCCAGCTTAAAGACTGACTTTTACCTCAGTCAGGAAACATCATTCACCTTTTGGAGATAAAAAACAAAACTCTACCCTTGGAACAAATTGAAATAACCCGTTGCCCCACCACGGATCAGACCAAAAGCATCTAAGGTCTTCAATAACCAGCCTAAGGTGCGGCTGCCCATCACCTCACCACGGATCAGATCAATAGGTCTCTTATATCTTCAAAACCAGCCTAAAGAGTGACTTTTAACCCAGAAATGGGTTGAAAGTCTCACCTTTTGGAAAAAAACAACCTCTACCTTCTCACAAATTAAAATAACCCGCGGTCCATCAACATGTTTTTACCCCAAGGTACCGTGTCACGTGTCTGGTTCATCATCCTGACCCTCATCCTTTAACAGAATGACGAGGTCATTCCAGACAAGCCAATGTATGTTATGTCAGCCGATGTGTTAATAGCTGATGTGGCGTTAGCATGCCGAGTGGACAAGCTACTAAGGACCAATTATTTCTCACCGTATGCAGTAATTACAAAGTAACACGGAAGACAGCAGGGATGCATTCTTCATTCTGAATGTGTGACCATCCCAGTGACATCACCACGCCTGTTCCATGTTAGATGGGGTGTGTTTTTTATACTGCCTGAGTGACCATCCTAATGTAACATTAACATCATCACGCTTGTTCCATGTTAGATGGGGTGTGTTCTTTATACTGCCTGAGTGACCATCCCCGTGTAACATTAACATCATCACACTTGTTCCATGTTAGATTAGGTGTGTTCTTTATACTGCCTGAGTGACCATCCTAATGTAACATTAACATCATAACACTTGTTCCATGTTAGATGGGGTGTGTTCTTTATACTGCCTGAGTGACCATCCTAGTGTAACATTAACATCATCACGCTTGTTCCATGTTAGATTAGGTGTGTTCTTTATACTGCCTGAGTGACCATCCTAGTGTAACATTAACATCATCACACTTGTTCCATGTTAGATGGGGTGTGTTCTTTATACTGCCTGAGTGACCATCCCCGTGTAACATTAACATCACCACACTTGTTCCATGTGAGATGGGGTGTGTTCTTTATACTGCCTGAGTGACCATCCCCGTGTAACATTAACAGCATCACACTTGTTCCATGTTAGATTAGGTGTGTTCTTTATACTGCCTGTGTTATCATCTTAATGTAACATTAACATCATCACACTTGTTCCATATTAGAAGGGATGTGTTCTTTATACTGCCTGAGTGACCATCCTAGTGTAACATTAACATCATCACACTTGTTCCATGTTAGATGGGGTGTGTTCTTTATACTGCCTGAGTGACCATCCTAGTTTAACATTAACATCATCACACTTGTTCCATGTTAGATGGGGTGTGTTCTTTATACTGCCTGAGTGACCATCCTAATGTAACATTAACATCACCACGCTTGTTCCATGTTAGATGGGATGTGTTCTTTATACTGCCTGAGTGACCATCCTAATGTAACATTAACATCATCACACTTGTTCCATGTTAGATGGGGTGTGTTCTTTATACTGCCTGAGTGACCATCCTAATGTAACATTAACATCATCACACTTGTTCCATGTTAGATGGGGTGTGTTCTTTATACTGCCTGAGTGACCATCCTAATGTAACATTAACATCATCACGCTTGTTCCATGTTAGATGGGGTGTGTTCTTTATACTGCCTGAGTGACCATCCCGTGTAACATTAACATCATCACACTTGTTCCATGTTAGATGGGGTGTGTTCTTTATACTGCCTGAGTGACCATCCCCGTGTAACATTAACATCATCACACTTGTTCCATGTTAGATGGGGTGTGTTCTTTATACTGCCTGAGTGACCATCCTAATGTACCATTAACATCATCACACTTGTTCCATGTTAGATGGGGTGTGTTCTTTATACTGCCTGAGTGACCATCCCCGTGTAACATTAACATCATCACACTTGTTCCATGTTAGATTAGGTGTGTTCTTTATACTGCCTGAGTGACCATCTTATGGGGTGTGTAACATTAACATCATCACACTTGTTCCATGTTAGATGGGGTGTGTTCTTTATACTGCCTGAGTGACCATCCTAATGTAACATTAACATCATCACACTTGTTCCATGTTAGATGGGGTGTGTTCTTTATACTGCCTGAGTGACCATCCTAATGTAACATTAACATCATCACACTTGTTCCATGTTAGATGGGGTGTGTTCTTTATACTGCCTGAGTGACCATCCTAATGTAACATTAACATCATCACGCTTGTTCCATGTTAGATGGGGTGTGTTCTTTATACTGCCTGAGTGACCATCCTAATGTAACATTAACATCATCACGCTTGTTCCATGTTAGATGGGGTGTGTTCTTTATACTGCCTGAGTGACCATCCTAATGTAACATTAACATCATCACGCTTGTTCCATGTTAGATGGGGTGTTCTTTATACTGCCTGAGTGTAATGTTCTTTATCACGCTTGTTCCTGTTCTTTATACTGCCTGAGTGACCATCCTAATGTAACATTAACATCATCACGCTTGTTCCATGTTAGATGGGGTGTGTTCTTTATACTGCCTGATGGGGTGTGACCTGCCTGAGTGACCATCCTAATGTAACATTAACATCATCACACTTGTGTGTTCCATGTTAGATGGGGTGTGTTCTTTATACTGCCTGAGTGACCATCCCCGTGTAACATTAACATCATCACACTTGTTCCATGTTAGATGGGGTGTGTTCTTTATACTGCCTGAGTGACCATCCCCGTGTAACATTAACATCATCACGCTTCTTCCATGTTAGATGGGGTTTGCTCTTTATACTGCCTGGGTTACCATCCCCGTGTAACATTAACATCATCACACTTGTTCCATGTTAGATGGGGTGTGTTCTTTATACTGCCTGTGTTATCATCTTAATGTAACATTAACATCATCACACTTGTTCCATGTTAGATTAGGTGTGTTCTTTATACTGCCTGTGTTATCATCTTAATGTAACATTAACATAATCACACTTGTTCCATGATAGATGAGGTGTGTTTTTTATACTGCCTGTGTTATCATCTTAATGTAACATTAACATCATCACACTTGTTCCATGTTAGATGGGGTGTGTTCTTTATACTGCCTGTGTTATCATCTTAATGTAACATTA